CTGCTGGTTGCTCATGCAGCACATGTCACTCACTTTCCCAGTTAAAAGAACTCAGAACTCCAGTGTTCACCAGTGGCTTCCATCTACCTCAGGGAATGCTGGCCCTACCTGTAACTGTCAGGCCTGGCTCATCTAAGGTGATTCCACTCTTGCTAGAGATGGGTGAGTGTATTACTCAAGTGTATTACTCAAACTTGAGTGGGGGTTTCTGGGAAAGGTTTCCCTTCTCCTACAAAACTATTAAAAGAGACAGTCTCTCTTCTTCCTTGGAAATTTCAGGTGTTTGGATGCATGCAGCAGCCATAAGGCCCCTTGCTACCAGCCTGAGGAGGAAGCCAACCCCAAAGACGATACAAAGAAAAGATGGAAAGAACCAAGATCCTTGATGACAACTTTAGCCTTCAGATTCAACTGACACTGAAGTCAGACCCACTCTGGGATATCTGTTCTATGAGCTAAGACATTTCCTAATTGCTCTCATGTTCAATTTACATTAGTCATCTATTGCTGCACAAAAAAATTGCTCCAAAACTTAGAGACTTAAAACAGTAAGCATTCAACATCCCACAGTTTCTGTGGGTCTAGAATCTGGGCACAGCTCAGCTGAGTGCCTCTGACTCAAGGCCTCACAAACCTGCAGCTAAGGTGTGGATCAGGGCTGTGGTCTCCTCTGAAGGCTCTACCATGGGAGGGTCTGCTCCCAACCTCAGTCAAGTGGCTGCCAGCAGGATTCCACAATCATGGTCAATGGACTGAGGGCTCCGTTCCTCACTGGCTGTTGGCTGGAGGTCCCCTCAGCTCTTTGCCATGCAGGTTTTCCATGGAGCAGCTCACAGCATGGCAGCTGGCTTGTTTTTCTCAGAGTGAGAACAGGTGCCTAAGATGGAGGCCCCAGTCTTCTTCTACCCTAATCTTGGAAGTGAGAAGGGACATCCCATTACCCTTGCCATATTCTATTCCTTATCTAGGCATCATTAAGGTCAGTCCACATTCCAGGGGAGAAGGTTACACAAGGGAGTGAACACAGGTGGCAGGGAACACTAAAATCCACATGAGAGGGACCCTGCACATCTAGATGCGTCCTACCAGACAGGTCAGAGTAGAGAACCACTCAAGAAGAAGCAAAGGTTGGGATACGGAATTCCACAGAGATTTTTGCACCTTTCTCAAGGATAACTGCAACAAGTCTTTGATACAATATTGACTATTCTGAGGGTATCCTTTAGACAGACCTGAAATGAGGGTCCTGGATGCTCTTTACACTGGTAAACATCTTATTTTAATGAAGTTGAAAGGAATAGCGTATTCTGATGTGACTGATGCTTAAAATTCCCACAGTGACTCATATTCTAGTATATTTCTTTGTTGAACATATGCGATGTGTCAGGCACCGGTTTGAAGGATGGATGCACATATGAATGACTGTTAAAACTTCCAAGTGGCTTAAACCAGCAGAGGAGACACATGACAGGTGTGTGTAACATGTATAATGAGTAAAGGATATGCACCAAGACCATCGTCGGAGAAGACATTATTCACCCTCGAGGGCATGGTAGGGTTGCCAGAGCCTACTCCTGAGAGGCACAGAGCATGCACAGAAAACTCACCCTGTTTGGTTATGGCCTGAGCATGTAGAAAACTCACGCATCTGTGTCTGGGCTAGGTACACTGAGGGTGAGCCGGAGAACCAGTGACTTACAGGTGGCCTCTTAAGCCACATACAGATGAGTGAATTGTTACTCTACCTCTTCTGAACAACTGACTACAAACCAAACATTAATTCAAAGGAGTCCAGAAGTCCCATGCAGCCTTCATTTTGCCTTTGTTCCAGGTAATTGTGGTCTTCGTGACCATGCGTCAAGTGCCAATAACCATTTCAACATTAAAAGGCAGTGAGAGGTTTGTCCTTGACCTAAGTTCCCATAAAAGTCATCAAAAGGTCAGCCATGGAAAGGTGGTTGGCAGCAACAAAGCCATCAGGCTTGCGACCGGGTCAAGGTCCTACAGAGGTCAGAGAGGGGACAAGGGAACACCTGAAGCAGAAAGGCCTGGAGGAGAAAAGACCCCAGGAAAGGGTGGCAATGAAGCGACCTAGTTACGTCTTCTCCTCACCTTCTACGTCTGCAGACAAATCCATCATCTACTAGTTTCTTTAATCTTTAATCTTATAAAGGTTAGCTGTGCTTACTGGTTTTCAAGAAAGTGTACTGTCTCCTTTTTAACAACCTAAGTAGAATATATTATCTGGTGTCCAAATCACAACAGATATGTGAAAGTTCAAGGTGCTGTGCAAGATAAGTGCTGGGTGATGGGTGGAGCAAAGATGAAGGGTTTGAGAACCCACAAAGAGAAACATGCTATTCTGCTTATGATGGTGAGACCTGCCAGCTTGGTTTCCCCGTGAGGGTGGTGCCTTCCCCTCAGAACTGTGAGGTAGGAAGTGACCTTCTCTGAGATGCTTGGTGGATAGCCTGGCTCTTGTAAGTACTCAGGGTAAATTCCTCCCATAAGCACAGCATTCCTTATACAAGGAACAAAATTTTAAAATTAAACTCAGAAGGAGATATGCAAGAGCTTTCAGCTGGCATAAAAATGTGAGCTTTCATGCAATCAAAAATGAGCAGAAATTTGACTGGGAGAGAGGGGGGATGCTTGTGTTGCAGGGACACACATTCATACCCAACACGTAGGAGCCACTTTGCCTCTTTGGAGACAGGTGAAAGGAGCACCCAGATTTAACATTATGGATTTAAAAAATGGAAAACAAAGGATTCATTTTCCTTCTATTTTTTTTTAAAGTCTTTCAGGCAAGTTGCATTCTATCTGCTGGAATAGGCAATCCCAGTTTTCAATGCCATAAACAATGGCCAGGCCAGTTCTGTTGATCAGAAGCTCCCAGCTGGATGAGCACCATGTGGTGCACAAGCAGCCAGGAGCAGGGAGTGGGAGAGGGAAGCGTGTCAAGCCCTGGAGACCTGTGCAAGGTGCCAGATCGGGTTCTGCCAGGGAGAGTGAGATGAAATCGGTCAGCACCCATCCAACACCTCATAGGGCCACCTCTTCCCTCACCTCCGGTGTCCCCTTCACGCCACTGCTGGCACCTCAGGGGCCGTGAGAGGTGAAGAGGAGGGGGCAAGGTGCAGGATGATGCTGAGGGCAGAGGAGGTCCTGGGTGACAGGTGCATGGGGAAGTGACCTGGGGAGAGAGCTGGAAAGGGCACGAGAAGAAAAACGGAGCCACCTGGCGAGAAGAAAGGGAGTCTGGTCTTGTGCCTGTTGCTTCATTCCACTCGCTGCTTTGTCCCACTCTCAGACCTGGGAAGGTCTAAGGACAGGAAATGTGTTCACAGCTCCACAGAGATGCAGGAAGAGGCTTGAGTGCTACAGCCTGATGCGGCCTCGGTAGGACCTCTCCCACGGCTTGTCTGCCCGTCACTCCAGTCAACGCTGCACCAGAACAGCGAGTGCCCCCCAAACACAGGGAGGCCCGGGGGGAGTGAGGGTCTGTGAGTATGCAGGCAGTCAGCCATGGGAATGCATAAGGACTTTAACCTGGCTCGTCCATCCCGCGCAGGCTGACACAAAGCCACCGGTCCCTGGATTGCTCCTTGAATCCCTATGGTTGTACTCAGCTTTACCATTTTCATTCTGCAGGTTCTCCCAGGGAGGAGACTCCGTGGGTGGGGACAGCAGTTGCAGTCATGGGCACTGGAGCTCACGGCCTTGGAAGACGAGGCTTTAAACGCCTCTTTTCAGAGAGGAAATGGCTCCAGAGCCATCTCTCTGCACTGCAGCTGCCATCTTTCTGAATGCCTTTTTATAAAATCCATTTGCATTCAGAAGCATGTCTAATGTCAAGATGATCAAATGCATTTTAAGGGTGGAAAAGAAGTATTTGTGAGGAAAGAAAATGAATCGGGATTATTTTACCTGGAGAAAGTCAATAAGTAATCCAGCAATTATCTTCTTCACCCAGAAGCGGGCAGGCAGCTGGCTGTCATTTTCAAAGAAGACAGGAAAAGATCAAGTGGCTCAGGGTGGGATAGGGTGAACTTCCTAGCCAGGGGGCTGCACGTGCTCCCATGGGCACCAGCGGGTGCTGGGCCAAATGCAGGGAAATACCATGCTACTGTGGCCTGCAGTGCAGGATGATGTTCACTTCATGAAGAAGGGTCACCCTGCTGCTGAGACACGCTGAAGGGGTTTGAGCATAGGCCTGCGGTAGACGTGACCTGAGAGTGTGTCATTAAGCGCGTGAAACTGTTACCCATCTGGAAGGGAATTTCTGTCCATAGTGCTTACTAAAGTCCAAAAGAAATCACAGGAAACAGGGAAAGCCACATACCCGACAGGGTGTGCCAAGAAGGAGAAACCAAATAGGACTTTAGTAATGGCTGTTGGTTGGGACGTTACTCCTGGCTCTCCCATCCTGTGGAGGCTGCCACAAAACCACTGGTCCTAGGACTGTTCCTTGATTGCCAATCAAGCTGCGACCCCCTCCACAACTCCAGTTTCCCTTTACAGAGAAAAATGCTAGCTCTTGGCCACTGGCCACACGGCTCAAAGGCTGAATTAAAAATGAATTCCTCCCGGTGTTGAGCAGGACACCCTCGGGCACACTCACAGCTTGGCAGCCCAGTGAGCCCAGCGACAGAATCACACAGGGCCCCCTGGATGGCTGTCGCTGCCTGTGGGCATAATGCTCTGAGGTCTAATCTGAGGAACATCCCCTCCCAGTTGACTCTCTCTACCCACAAGGTACAGCTTTAGCTGAAGTCTGGCCATATGTAGGAACGGTTAGCTGGTTAAGTCATCCAGAGTACATTTCCTGTGAGACTGAACACACTGCATTGAGCATTGAGGAAGAAGAGCTGAGAAGGAAAGGCACACACACCCAAGGTAAGAATGGAAAGTCTGGAAACCTAGCCCCGACATGATCAGCAGTGACCAGAGAGATGAACGGTCCACATACAGTTTGAACGGAAGCAAGAGGCACATACGTTTGGGTCTCAGGTCTGAGGCCTCGGAACCAGCGCCTTCCCCAGGAAAGCTGAGAGGCTCCGCCGCGTCTGTATCGGGAGGAGGGTAGGGCGGGGGCGGGGGGAGCACTAACTGGGGTGGTCCCCGAGCAGTGCCTCTGGGAGGCTTTTGTGGCACCTGCCGTCCGCCACCTACATGGAATCAACAGGGAGTTACTTCAAAGGTCACACCAAAAGGTTCCCGCCTTCCGACAGAGGGCACGCTGCCATCACTCGCCAGGCACCAGATCCAGTCTCATCCAGCACTTGATCCGCCCACCTGGCACCAGCCACAGCCAACCACACTCACACTTTCGCATTTTGCAGCCATAGTGTTCCATCACCCGGCCCATTTGGAAAGACGTGTCTGGTTGAAACTTGTTTCTGGCAGGCACAGTGACTTAAATGCTGGGCTTGAAAAACGTCTCAAAACTCCCCTAGGGCCGGGCACAGTGGCTCATGTCTATAATCCCAGCATTTTGGGAGGCCGAGGCTAGAGGATTGCCTGAGCCTAGGGGTTGGAGGCCAGCCTGGGTAACTTGGAGAGACCTCGTCTCTACAATAAACCAAAAAGTTAGTCAGGCGTGGTCGTGTGCACCTGTAGTCCCAGCTACTTGGGAGGCTAAGATGGAAGGACCGTCTGAGCCCAGCAGGTTGAGGCTGCGGTAACTGTGATAGTGTTACTGCACTCCAGCCTAGGTGACAGAGTAAGACTCCATCTCAAAAATAAATAAATAAATAAATGAAAAAAGCCCCCTAAACAGCTTTGTCAAGTTAAAAGAGGATCCTTTGGTTTGTGTTAGTCTTTTTCTGGTTCACAGACTGGTTTTTCACCTTACTCTTGCCTTTCTGTATCCTTTAATTTACTATGGCGAGATTAACCGTTGATTTAGCGTATCTCTTTTCCGACCCCTGACACTTTCTGCCTCTGCGGTTGTTTAGGGTTAGGCTTCTCAAAGTTTGTTCTGAAGAGCGTCCTGAGCTGCAGAGAGTTGGGGTGTGTGTGCTCAGCTGCACTTTTTCTCTCAGACCATTGGAGCAGCTCTGTCTATACGTTGGTAATACATTTAAAAATTTGTTGAAAATGGTTTTCTAATGCTCATGCAATTTTTGACAGTCAATGACTCAACAGAACAAATGACATGAATTACTAGGGTCATGAGTCATATTTACTATTATTTCTAGTAAATAGTCATATTTACTATTATTTGTACACCCATTTTTTGTATACTCCACTTTTTGTATAAAATGTCACCAGGAAACTCCTTGACAGTTGCAAAGTGATCCCTGTCTTAAGGAAGTCCTCGTACCCAAGAATCTTCTGGGCCTCTTGCTAAGGGATAATCAGGAATCTGGGCTATCTGACAGTGGGGGGAAACTATAAGAGGTGGAGGGGAAGGAAGGTAGGCTTAACGGTAGTCAATATCTGTCTGGGGACAGGGAGACACCCTTTATCAACAAGGGTGCCCGAATGAAGCATATTTGTATACCTAACCCTTAACTGTATCCCACAATATTAAAATAAAATATATTGATTAAAAAAAAAAGAAAGAGCCGGGCTCGGTGGCTCAGCCTGTAATCCCGTGCCTTTGGGAGGCTGAGGTGAGTGGATTGCCTGAGCCCGTGGGTTCAAGACCCGCCTGGGCAACTTGGCAAGACCTCATCTCTACAATAAATAAAAAATTAGCCGGGCATGGTAGCATGCGCCTGTAATTCCAGCTACTTGGAAGGCTGAGGTGGAAGGATCGCCAGAGCCCAGCAGGTCGAGGCTGCGGTGGCCGGGAGTGGCCACAGCCCTCCAGCCTGGGAGACAGAGTGAGACTCCAACTCAAACAAAAGAAAGAAAGAAAGAAAACCACTTTCTTCAAGCTTTACAGTTTAGAATCTTCTAATAATTGATAGACTCCATGCTTCACTGGATTACTAATAAAAATATAAAGAGACACTATTTCTTCATCAAGACATACATCCATTTGTCCCTTCTCTTGGCTATAGTACTCTAAGTATGGAAAAACATTAATCTCCCCATATCAAAATATCATTTCCTCCCTCAAAGGCACATAAGCCATAATCTGTGTGGGCCATGCGGTCTGTTGAGTCCTGGAAAGTGACATCATGTGAGACGTCTCCCTGGGGTAAGGCCCATAGGAAGAACAGACTTCACTCCACTTTTTGTATACCAAAAAATGTAGGTCAAGACCCCAATTCAGTTAGTTACAGCACTATTTTCATGCAGGGTATAAAATAAACTTTTCTATGTCTAGATTTCTGAATAGAAAAGTCATTCTACTTTTTTGTGGGGGTGAACAGGGGCTACTTTAAAAAACAAAACAAACAAAAAACCCTAAAGTCAAGGCTGCTTACAAGTTCTGCTGTGGTTTTAATTCACAAGGATTTCTGGTGGGATGGAAGTTTGGCATAAAATTGCCACCGAGACCTTCTACGATATATCTTGTCCTAAAAAAATATCAACATCGTTTTCAGTAGGAAAGAAGCTTCTGGACGTCTCAATCCTCATGGTTTATGGAAAAAAGAAAAAGGCTTGTAGCAAATTACTACTACTCAAGTCTCCTCCTTGCAATGCTTCTTAGTGAAGACGCTGTTCCTGAAACTGTTTTAAAGCATCTGCCTCCAGTCTCCCCTGCCATCTGTGGGTACCGGCTGACACCATATGCCTGGAATGGGTTCTCCAAGCACATTGGACATGAGGATTTGGTCCCCGAGGGCTGAATCAGGGGGCTCTTCCCTGGGTTGAAATAGGATGTCTGGCCTGGAGGTGGGCATGACTCAACCACATCCATATGGCCACTTAAAAAGGATGCTTCTTAGAACGCCAACAGGGATTTTTGTCTCTTTACCAAGAATGGGGAGAAAGCTTAGAAGGAAGAATGGAGCTGGGCTCGGTGGCACAGCCTGTAATCCCGCACCTTGGGAGGCTGAGGTGAGTGGACTGCCTGAGCCCACAGGTTCGAGACCCACCTGGGCAACTTGGTGAGACCTCATCTCTACAATAAATCAAAAAATCAGCCGGGCGTAGTAGTGCGTGCCTGTAGTTCCGGCTACTTGGAAGGCTGAGGCGGCAGGATCGCCAGAGCCCAGCAGGTCGAGGCTGCGGTGGCCGGGAGTGGCCCCTGCACTCCATCTGGGCGACTGAGTGAGACTCCAACTCAAAAAAAAAAAGAAGGAAGAATGGGGAACTCCTCATGAAACAGGAGAAAACTTGGTTGACCTTAACAACCCACAGATAATGTTTTTTTAAAGTCTGATAGTATTTTCCTTTGGGAAAGAGGATCAACTGATGTACAGTATAGGCTTTTGCTCCTTAGAATAATTGATTCCCAGACTGCGAAATGCTAAGGCATGAAGAGTGTGGTATTGATTAGGGGAAAAAATGCTGACAAACCCCAAGTGGCTTTTATTAAAGTTTCAGACACTGGCAATGCATCCTCTTATCCCTGGGAATATTTTCCCTTTTGGATCCACAGTTATTAGGTCAAAGGCAAAACACAGGAGTACCTGAGGGGAATAAAGGGCACTGTGAGTGGCCCTCTGATGGCTTCAGCCCCAGCACTAATGCACGTCATTCTTGGGTGGAGGGTGTCTCAGGCCTAGGAGGGCATAATCTTAGGTACCATTTTTCAGTCCCTTCTTTGCAAGAGCCATCTCTGTTCCTACATAAGTTAATTAACAAACACTTAGTGATTTAAGAATAAACTGAACCATTCCCAGCTCATGGATACGGAGCCTCCGTCATCTAGCCCCTGTCCACCTCAGCTGTAGCACAAAGGGGTAGGATGTAATAACCTAATGGGTCTCTTTCTGCTGATAGGTGGGATTCCACCTTCTTTCCTCAGGCTCTCCGTTTCTCAACGAATAGTAAGGTCTTCACTAAATATATACCAGGTGTATCAGTCAAGGTCAACATCAAACAGGATGGTGCGAAAATACTGAATTGATGCCAAGTCATCTATAAATCAAATGGGGCCTGTGTTCTCTTTCAGATGCAAGTTGTCCTTCAAAGAAGCTCCCTCAGATGTCATTCTAAGAACTGTGTTTCTCATCGCAGAAGCACACACTCACACACACACTTGCACTTGCTCACTTTCACCCTCTCCCCAGTTTCTTCAGCGGTTTTGACCCTTCCCACCATCCCCGCCTTACAAATGCTCACATCATGTCCATCAAATTCTATTAGCAAGATATGATGTGAACTCACAACTGTTTATTTCCAGACTTTCTTTCTTTAGCATTAATACCATCCAGGTTAACGCCCTTGTGATAAGGCCACTGCAGGAGTTAGCAGGAGGGCTTTCATGCCAGGCCAGAGCAAGCATCCCCGCAAGTGCGCACGGTGAGCCAAGCTGCACTTACCCACTGTGCTCTTCCTGTTCTCTTCCTTGTCCTCAGTGCGGCTGGGGACCAGGGGGCTTGGTGGTGGTGGCTGTGGTGGAGGGGGAGCTGGTGCCCGCCGCTTCTTCTTCTGCAAATCAACCTGTGACCCCAGAGACACCTATGAAGCACAAAGAGGGAAAGACAGGCCATGTCAGTTGATTGTGTGAGGGAATGGTGGCATGTGGAAAGCTAGCTCCATGGAGAGTAGTGCTGTGAAGGCTGTCGGGTGGCCAATTCCGTTTCTGGGTCTTGTCAGGTGGGCGCTTTCTGGGAGTGGCCCTGAGGGACCACAGTGATGCTCATAGACAGTCTCAAAACCCCTATGACCATGGGGAGCTCATATTTTCTTCTTTTTTTTTTTTGAGTTGGAGTCCCATTCTATCGCCAAGGCTGGAGTGCAGTGGCACGCTCATGGCCACCCCAGCATCAACCCGTTAGGCTCCGGCCATCCTTCTACCTTAGCCTTCCAAGTAGCCAGAACTACAGGCACATGCTACTACACATGGCTAAATTTTTAAAAAATTTATTGTAGAGACGTGGTCTCGCCAAGTTGCCCAGTCTGGTCTCAAACCCGCGGGCTGAAGAAATTCACTCGCCTCAGCCTCCCAAAGTGCTGAGATGACAGGCTGAGCCACTGAGCCTAGCCAGGATCTCATATTTCCTAGGGATTCCAGGCCAGACTGGAGAGTGGGTAAACTTCCCCATAGTAAAATGAGAATGGGATCCCAAGCTCTTAATTAAATCAGTATATAGGATATAAATCTCCCATCCAGAACAGAAATCCCTCTCCTGCTCAAAGACTTTATCAGTGAAAAATTCACTTCTAAATTCAGTTTATCAATGCTGGACAGGTCCAGTTGTTGAAGGTAAAATCTGTCTATTCTATAAAATGGAACCCACAGCCAGTGGCTATTCATTCACTCTCACTGATTAAGATTCATTTAAAGGGTCCTGGCTTTGCAGGGTAGTGCAGAGCATATGCAAGGAATGAAAGTGATGATGACACATCGTCCCTGCCCTCGAGGAGCTCAGAGCCCTGTCTACATCTTGAGCCCAAGGACTCCCCAGGGCCCATCACAGACTCGGCGCCTATAATACCACAACCCCTGATCTCGGCGCTCTTTGGCTCATTAACTTAGGCTTGAACAATGTGGATCAGAACTGAGCATAGGGCTCCACATCTCAAAAAGGATATGTGTATGTATGTATGTATACATGTGCAAAAAGTCTCCCTTGGTTTTTTATCAGTAATATACATTGATTGCAAGAGCAGTGAAAGAATATGTAAAAAGAAAAACATAATCACTTTATGTTGGCCGGGCGCGGTGGCTCAGTCTGCCATTCCACACTTTGGGAGGCCAAGGCGAGTGGATTGCCTGAGCCTACGGGTTTGAGACCAGCCCAGGCAACTTGGTGAGACCTCATCTCTACGATAAATCAAAAATTAGCTGGATGTGATAGAACAAGCCTGTAGTTCTAGCTACTTAGAAGGCTGAGGTGGAAGGATTACCGGAGCCCAGAAGGTCGATGCTGGGGTGGCCGTGAGCATGCTACTGCTCTCCAGCCTGGGTGATGGAGTGAGATTCTAATGCAAAAAAGCAAAAAAAATCACTTTATGTCATTCAGAGTAGACTATTAACAACTGGCATTTATTTTTCTAGTCTTTATATTTTTCTTCTATAGGTATTTTTTCCCTCCCTTCTCCTATAGTATACTTATGATCACCTCCTCTACTTTTAAATTCTACAGTACATTTCACATAAAACATGGATATGATAAAGTCAAACAGTCCTACAAAGTTTAAAATCAAAATCAACAATTATTTAACTACCTCCTCCATGCCAGCAGTAATCACATCACACTTTTTTTTTCTTCTGGCATTTTTTCCCATTTTTCTAAATAAGAAACTTATTCTACTATTTCTTGATTTGTTTATGTCATGCATTAGCTACCTACTTTAGAAGATGAGAGTTTAGCTCTTTGGGACGTGCACACACACACAGACACATATTCACACATTTCTTCTCCATCTTCTCAAAAATTATAGCACACAATTTACTTAAATTTAATATTTACTATTTAGTTATACATATACAATTATAATAAACATCAAAGTTGTGAAAAATGATTTCTAAATAATATGTATAATTATGCTTTCTCTCTAGATTGATTACCTTTTTGTTTTCCCTGAACTTAATAACTGATTTGTTTCCTTACTTTCTTCCTAACTGAATTTCCTGGAAATTCCTTTATTCTTCTCAGTTCTGATCTCATTTCCTAGATTCCCTGCCTTAAAAAACAAACAAACAACCCCCCCAACCCTTCCTTTCAGTTGAATAGTCTTCAGCAGGTTTCTAACATAAGATGCATAGGAGAAGGATTTTTGAGACCTTTTATTCTATTATACTGAACAATCGGTATAGATGCCTATAAAAACTGAGGATGAAGATCATTGTCTCTGCTAACATGAAGCTATGACTTCATCATCTAGCGTACAACCATACAGCTGAGACATCCGATACCATGGTGATGCTGAGGCTTCTTCACAGACCTGCTTTCTTTCTGAAAGCTTGGAGGATCCTTTCTTATTTCTTCCTGATCTGAAGTTTCATGATGGTTAGCCTTGGGGTGGGGTTCTTTTCATCCATTGTCTGTGGCATTCATTGATCCCTGAAACCTGCATATCCTTTAATTCTGCAGAATTAAAGTGTTATGTTTCTCTATTTTTTCCTCCCTGTTTTCTCTCTGAGATTTTAATTTGTTGAATATTTAGAAGTGTAAGTCAATTCTCTAATTTTTCTTGAATAGTCTTGCCTAATTTTTCCTGCCCCCCCCCACTTCTTGGACATTTTCTTTTTTACTTCATTGTGAAACTCTTATGAATTTAAAATTTTCTGCTACTGTCCTTTTAATTTCCAAGAGCTTTTTCTTGTTATAAGTTTAAAAAATAGCTTTATGATCTTGTTTCCTGGATACAATGTCTTCTCTTTTCTCTCTGAAGCTATTATTTGTATGTTTTTTCAAAAAAAGTTTTAATTTTCATTTTTTTCCACTTTATGTATTGTATTTTCCCCCAAGATCCTTTTTTTCTCTCTATGTCTTTGTCTCTGCTTATTACATTTTGACTTTTCCTCAAATTTCTGGTGACCCTTGGTTCATTGTTTATAATATGTGAGGTCCTGTAAATAGGTTATCTCCTCTGAGAGACTGGTGGGATTATCTGTAGGTAGCTGGGCAGAAATCTGGTTAGTTCATTGGGATATCTCCAAGTGTCCATATCTGTAGGGCTCTCTCCTAATATAGCTACATTATACGCAGGTGAATCCTCCAGCTCCTGCCTGAAGGTGCTAGTCTTTCAAAGCGGAGTCCAGTGAGAAGGCTCTGAAGATCTAATACAGCATGTGGTTTTCATTTATTCCTGTGTTTGTGCAGACTCAATTGTGTCTTAAGTCCTGGAGTCCTCGTCCCTTGGTTCTATCACCTCCAGGGTTGGGAGCACAGATGTTTGACTGTGGCAGACAGGGAGGGGGTCTGGCGGTCTTATTGCTTCACATGCATGTGTTCCACCAGTTCTTGGTCATCAGCTTGCTCTGCACTCTGATGTACAGAGAAAAGTGTGCCCGAATTTCTGAACATCATGGCTTCTGATCTCTTCTGATGGGTCTCTCCCTCCTAGCTGTCCCACCCAGCTTCTTCTGCTTTCCTAGGAATTTGGTACAACCAAAATACATTCCACTCCTAAAGTGTCTACTGAAAACTAATATCAACGGTCATTTCTGCTTCTCCCTTTCTTGTAGACACAGTGGACTAACATTTTTAAATTTATTTTAGTGAAATTTCAGGAGAGACAAAACTTTGTTTTATCTGCTGCATTTCACCACGTTTCTTCAGCTTTGTTGAGAAACAATTGACAAGTAAACATTGTGCACATATGCCGTACAACTGATAATTTGATATATGTATACATTGTGAAATGATCGCTATAATCAAGCTAAGAAACATATCTAACACCTCACATGGTACCTTTTTTAAACACATTTTTCTTTTCTTTTTTTGTGATAAGAATGCTTAGCATCTACTGTCTTAGCAAAATTTCAAGTTTTTTTAATGGCTGACTAGTACTTCATTGACTTATCAGCCCCTTCTGCCTTTAGCTAAATATTAAAATTGTTTGGTTTTGGCTATTACAAATTCAAGTTCTCAAAACACTCAGTGATTTTGTCTTTCTTCCACATTTTGTTTTCTTCTTTTCTCTTTCTTTTTAAAAATTCTGAGTGTTCAATAAATCCATTTATTATAACTCCTCAGGTAAAGAGCATAAAAAATCCAGAATGAGCCAAGCTCAGTGGCTCAGCCTGTTATCCCGTGCCTTTGGGAGGCTGAGGTGAGTGGATTGCCTGAGACTGCGGGTTCGAGACCTGCCCGGGCAACTTGGCAAGACCTCATCTCTACAAGAAATCAAAATGAGCCGGGTGTGGTAGTGCACACCTGTAGTTCCAGCTACTTGGAAGGCTGAGGTGGAGGGATGGCTGGAGCCCAGCAGGACGAGGCTGCAGTGGCCGGGAGTGGCCACTGCATTCCAGTGTGGATGACAGAGTGAGACTCCAACTCAAAAAAATAAGAAATAAAAAATAAAATCCAGAATGAAGATACCAGACCCCAACATTGCTATCCCAATTTTATGAATCCTTATCATGTAGGAATGAGGTCAGCAAGATGACAGGATAGGAAATCCCAGTCCTCATTTCCCCACAAAGACAGCAACTTAACAAAAATTTATAGAGCAAGATGGTCAGCTAGAAGCAGCTGGTGTGTGCCTGATCGCAGACTGCCTAACACAAAAGTGGGGGGATCTGGGTAGGGCTTTTTGCCCCAGCAACCCCTCGCTACCTGTGTGAAATCTTATGTTGCAGAGGCAAAACACAGCAGCATGACCCCAGCAGCCAGGGGTCTCCTTCTCAATTCTCATTGGGGCAGCCAATTGTGCACAAAGGTGGGGAGCAGCAGCACGGACCTGTCAGACCTAGCCTCCTCACAATGGGCTGAGGCTCCTCCACCCCCTCAAAAGCCCAACGTGGATGGGGAACTTTGGTAGTCCTCATAGCCCCATCCATAGCC